AAATTTACTGCACAGAAAAGTTAATTTACCAGGACAGAAATCAGGAGCGAGACCCCTGACTGATTTTACCTACTCGACGTTGCCAGGGCTGATTGTAGCACTGGTCAGCATAGACCAAGAATCAAACAGCAGACTATCAAGTGGGCTTGTCTTAATTTCACTGTAGACAGCAGCTTCACTGAGTGAACTGTTGGCAGAGACGGACAGGTGGATTCTTAAAAGACGCACACTCCCGAATTTTAGAAAAGGTTGGATGATTAAATCCGTTTTGTTTTGCTCTGACTTTGTCAGGTTCACACACTGTTTTTTTAAAAAAAATGTAATCTACCCTTTGAAAGCAATAAAAAATAATTTGAGAATGATCTGTAATAAACTTGAATGTGATCACTAAATGTCAGTCAGTTTCACATGCAGTCTATCACGGCAGACAGGCAGAGGCAGGCAGGCCTGCAGAAGAAAGAACAGGATTGAAACATGTAAGAGTCCCTGCACGGTTACTGTTGTACCCAAGACCCCAGGGGAAACTGTGAAAGAAATACAGCTGTTGTTAAAAGGTAGATAACACCTGATCAAAGAGCTCTTTAAAACAACACTTTTGTGTGCATCCCTTCTTTCTCTGACACACCCAATGACAGCTTTTTGAACCTCTAGCCTTTGTGTATCTTTTTTTTAAAAAATTGGCTATTTTGTTGTGCAAGACTTTTTTTTCCCCCCTCCTATGCCGTTCGGCAAAGGAGACCACAGGGCAAATTCTAATAGATTGGATGGTTGAAATTTGTTTGTGTTGTACGTTCACTTTGGTCCCCGCATGGGAAAATGTTACATGTAAGGTTCAAAGGTCATTAGATGTTTAATCTGTATTTAAATGTATTTAAATAAAAGACAGGACATGATAAATTGAAAAGAATTGGAACATACAGTATATTCAGGCCACCCTGCCCCCACCCAGTGCATACCCAGGCTGTGTTTTATGTGCCTGAGCTGCGATACATCTCACCTCGCAAACTAGAGGACCCAGGTTTGATTCCTGGGCAGGATGAAACCTGAGGCAAGTTTCCTTTCTCCACGTGTCTCTGTTTAACTTGCAGTAAGTAGGAACCTGGTTTATTTGTCGATTGGCGGTTCGCTTTCCGGGGGTAATAGTCTGCCGTTTCCCCCCGCCCCCCAAAAAATGTGGTCACTCAGTATATAAGGCGCTATATCAAATGCAAGGATTATTATGATTTATTATTATTTGTAAGACACTACTGTGCACAAATGACTGCCGCGTTTCACCCACAAAATGCAATCAATCCACTTTACAATATATTTTGTGAGGCGCTTTGAAATGTGTCAACGACGTGATGAGGCGCTGTATCAAATGCAAGTATTATTATAATTATATTCATGCATATATACATGTATTCTGGCATCTTGTTTTTCCTGTGTAATCTCATGTCAGATGCATACTATTGAACAACAGGGCATCATGGTGGAGGTCGGTTAATGTTTATCTGACACCCATGTGTACACATTTACTCTCAGGGCTCACTGAAGAGTCATCAGGAGCTGCAATCTGATTATCCCTCTCCCATAACATTGTGACCAACTGAAGCACCCCCACGCCCACCCTCTCGCCTCTGAGATTAGTTGACACAGCACACGCCAAGATTCAAACCCGGGATAATTCCATTTGATCTATTCAAATGGTGGTGTAATCTCCCAAATGACTACTTATGGACAACCACTCTATTATAGCGAGCTAATAAATTGGTAGCCAGGCTGACTGTGGCAGGGAAAAATGAACAGTTCAAAAGTATACCACAAATGCTACTAATCACACGGCATCATTTACACTGACTATCTTGAAAATTACCTACGCCGCTGTCAGTTCTCGAGTCATTTCCAACCTGACATCCTGTTACAGTCATGGTAACAAGTTGTTTTGAAGGAAATTGTATAAATTCAAGTTGTTTTTTTCATCCACAAAAATGGGTGGAAGATTGTACCATTTCAGATTGGGAGGGTACCATCAATGAGGAACAATATTTTTCAGATACTTTCAAGGCAGCAGCCCAGGGGTCGCAGGTTCAAGGTTGCGAAGGACAATTTCAGGACAGACATCTGGAGACATTTCTTTACACAGAAGGTAATCAACAACTGGACCATGTTACCAGGAATGGTGGTTGAGGCCAGGACATTGGACTCCTGCAATCTAAAGTAACAATGAGACCAAATGCATGTCTGTTAATTACAGAATTAACATTGTGCTTCCTTCAAGCTACCTCAAACAAGGGTGAACTAAAAGCCTTGATAAATACACCATTCTTTTTCACTGTTGACTAATTTAAACAACCCTTTCAGGTTCCACTTTCATCTCTCCTCCACCAGTATGCAAGCTCAAATTCCTTGTGATAAAATACTTCACATTAAAAACTTCACTGAAAAAAACTTAGTCCTTTAAGACTAAAATCTCCAATTAAGCAGAACAAATGTCAATCACCACATTACTGTGAAAAAGTACTTACCTTGGAGAGTAAAAGAGTGATGTAGAATTACACACAGAGACAGGCCATTTAGCCCTAAAAGTCCATTCCAGTGTTCATATTCACATTAGCCACAATTCCTCCTATTCCACTATCCCTCATATTTGCATCAAGTTTTCTGTTTAATGTATTTCTGGTTGTTTGTTTTAAGCACAGCTTTCAGCAGCAAGTTCCACATCTCACCATCTTCTGTTTGAAGAAGTTGCTCCTAAACTACCCATTAGATCCATCACTAGCTTTCTTATATTTATACCCTCTCATTGTGTACTCAAGTGGAAACAGCTCATGAAATTCCACCTTAACAAATCCTTTTATAGGTTTAAACCCTTATCATGTGTCCATCCTTTCAATCGTAAACTCCAGAGAGAAAAGCTCCAATCTTTCCAATCTTTCTTGATAGCTGCATCCACTCAATGCTCGTAACATCCTTCTAAATTTACACTGTGCTCACTCCAATGCTACAATGCTAGCCTTGTCCACTTGTGCTGCTACATTAAAGTTGTGTGAATCTGAATTCTGAGATCTCTGTTTTTACTCCTCTGAGATTCCTACCAGCCAGGGATGGTTGGTATCTTTATTCTTCCTACCAAAGTGAATTACTTCACATTTCCCTACTAAATTTCACCTGCCACCTATCCGTCCATTCTGCAAGTCTATTTATGTCTTCCTACATCTTTCTGCATTCCCCTTTTGAACTCAATTCCCAGTTTGGTGCCATTTCCCGATTTCAACACCATAACTTGTAATAACCGAAGCCAAATTATTTAGGTACATGATAACAGTAGTGGTTTTAGCATGGATCCCTCTACTTTTTGCCAGTTTGTGAAACTTTCCTTTACAACTCAGTTTTTCAGCTACCTCTCAATCCATTCTGCTACCTCTCCCTTGACTCCGATTTTGGCCGCGATTCTCTAATGTGGGATTTTACCAAAGGCCTTCTGGACGTCTATATACACCACATCCCATGCATTTCATTACCTACTTTACCTGTTACTTCTCCTGTCGACGTTGAATCATTAATTTAGATTGGTAACTGACTAAAGGGACCAAATGCCAATAAATCTCACTCAATCTGCATTGTATTCTGGACAGACTACATCTGGAGTACTGTGCACATCATAACGTAATGGGGCCACTCAAGCCCACAGCAGCAAAGCAGAACAATGAAGTTAATCAACGTAAAAAGGTGCAGCAATGAGTAACAATTAGGTCAGTTAAGGCTCTTTGGCCTTGATAAAGTATTTCAAAGGGGACCTTCTGGACGTATACAAAATACACAAGGTGCATGACATAAAATGTATCAACCAAGCACAGTTGGTAGCACTTTTGCTCGGTCATCAGAAGATTATGGGTTAAAGCCCCACGTCAGAATTTTGAGCTCACACGGTCTAGGTGGCAAACACTTCAGTGCAGTGCTGAGCGGAGAGTGCTGTATTGTTGGAAGTCCCAATGTGGGGCTTGAACCTTCAAATTTCTGATTCAGAGGTGAGAGTGTTCCCATCTGAGCCAGGCCGACAAATGTGCCAAAGGGTTTCCTTCATCTAAACTCCAATTAAGCGCAAGTTTCAGATCCAATGCAACTACCTTGGGATTGGTTTAACACATGATTCAGATGGAAGGGAAGCAGTAACAGTCATCTTGGTTCATCTTATCCATTTCTCAATTTGGCGATTATAGAACAACATAGGCAGAATATTAGGTTGGAAGGCAAGGTGCTCTCTCACCTGGGAATGGTGGATAGCTTGAAGAGACCAGTAAAATTTGGGAAGTGAAAAAATATTTAAAAGCACCGCTCAAAAGTAGAAACAAATGTCAATTTCTTTTTAAAAGCAACATTCTGAGATTCCACAGTGAAAGTTTGTTAACCTGTGAGATGACACATTATATGTAATTTATTTTGTTTAGTAAGCAAGTCAGAATGGTTTTGCCAGAATTATTTTCCCAGCAGTAGTATACTATAATTAGTAGTTAGTATATAATAAAGAAATTCAAGGAATCATTGGTGTCAATAAATGCCATTTCAGGAGCAACCCGTTTCACACAATGTCCAGAATAATAGCATTAAGTGTTCTTAGCAAAGTTCAGTACCAGAACTATAACAGTGTGATCTTTCTTTAGTTCAGTACCAGATACCTACCAGGGCCACAGGCTGACATTCCAATTTTACTTAATGCAAATGCCACAAGTGCAAAGCCTTTTTACTGTGAACCATTTTGGGAAGACATGAATATGAATCTTAAGTAAATGGAAAAAGGAGAATGCCCAATTCCATTAAGCCACGTGTATTCATTCCAGTGATGTTCTGGTTATTCTTTTCAAAACAAAATAGATTATATTCAGAAACATGGCTTGTTGCAAACACCTTGTATATCGAGGCACAATCTTGGGATTAACCTTGGTTGCAAACCAGCACCAACAAATGACACTCAGCTGATCCAAAAAAATAAACCCAAGACATTAAATAATGCAATTATGTTTTACATTAAAATACAAGGTTAATTTAATTTTAAATATAGTTTGATATACAGGATGCAGAAGGAATTGCCACAAAGCTTAAACAGAACAGCAATCCAAACATCACATACATGTATAGGAGCATTGATTTCAAAGCACGTTTACATTTTATGGAAAGAAAATCACTGCATGACAATACATTATCAGCAAGAAAAGTGAGCATGACCAAATTAAAACACTAAAGCCGTATACAATTAACAAAATCCCATAACAGAAATGTATGAAAGAAATATTAACGCAAACTTGCGTCCTTTTTTCCCCCATCTTGAAGAAGTAGTGGGAGATATAGCTGACAGTAAAACTTTCAGTAACTTCAGAAATAGCTGACATGAAGTGGGAGAACAGATTATTAAAGGCACAGTCTGTAGAGATAAGGCTGTCACGTGGCTTTATTATTTAATGTCACCTATGAGAAAATAGCAATGATATCAAAAGAAAAGCAAGCCATTCTTGCGAGTTAATATACTGGGACAATATTATTCTGTTTCCATAATGTTTGCAAATCTTAACACATCATTGCTAAATCCCTTTGTAATAATCTTGCATTTTCCTCCACCCCAGAATCTTATTTGACACAATCGACAAATTGATCAACAGTCTTCCTAGAAATAAAGTACAGTATTTGCTGCAATTTGGAGTGATAATTCAAATTAATAGCAGCCACTTAGATCAGCAAACACGCTTCATTTGGGTGCTATTGTATTGCTTTGCAAAGCCATCACATTTGCTTAAAGGTCCACTTACTTTGTGAACGCAGGTGCCCCATTTGTAAAACAAGTTTTATACAAAAATCATCAATCATGTTTTCAAACAAATTATTACATTGTAGTGACAAAAAGGTACCCAACCGAGTAACAGTAACTGCTCAGTGCAAAACTGAACTTCGATGTATCCAAACTATCCCCCCATCACCTTTGTACAAAAATGAATCGTTTTTCACTTAGGTCCTGGTCTTATAAAGAGGATTGATTCCATTACATAAAATGACCCTATTCAATCTAGATTTTCAGATTAATGTCTAGCAAAAGAGCGAAATAGCTACATCATGGACCGCAATCATATTTACTGATCCCTTACCCCCCTCCAAACAAAAATCAAACCACATCTCAGAACTTTCTCAATGATTTCTTTAGGTTTTGGGAGTTATTGTTCCTCTAGCCAAGAGGGACCATCGGAGCCAGGTGCCTTCAACTTAATGTGGAATTGTTTGAGGACTTGTTCCAGCTGCTGTTGGTTCCCAGCAAAGTAGGCAGACACGGCATTGTGGAAGAGGAGGAGCTGATTGTGCATCACTTTAATCTGTGAGAGATACACTATAACATTCAGATCTCATTCAGTTAAAGCAGCTAGCACAGTATTTCTTTAAAAGTGAGAAAAATACCAGTTCAATATTCTCTCACACATCTGATAACAATACATTCCAGACGCTTGCATAAATATAATTATGTTTCTCCCTCCCCCACAGCCTCCCTCTCAAGGAAAACCAATGCCTTTGGCAGAGTGATAAATAAACTGGGATTTACAAGAGAGTTAAGACAACATCAAATATCTCCATGTTAAAATGAAATCCTTTGATGGTTTTGTCATTTCTTTCACGGTCAGAGAAACAACCTGCTGTAAAGACTCCAACAATACTCATCCAAGTTAACTGCTCAGTGGTGTAACAATAGCCCAGGCAAGGACTCTCTGCGCATTCTCCCCTCTTTGTAAAAAAGGCAGCAATCAGGGTGTGGCATCTCTGAGATGGTAGCTTTGCAGAAGGGTCAAATCTCCCTCCTACCCTCATCATACTTTTGTGTTCAACACGATCAGGCTTCCACTTACCAAATAAACCTCACTTTTGTTTTTAGTGATTTAGTGCAATCAAATAAAATCCTCAGATGAAATTTTTGTTGTATCGTTAACTGATTCTACCAAGATACTATAAAATAGTTACTTTGACCACAGTGCAGATAAAACCTAGTTCAGTGCTTATTTCTTATCCATAGCTGTTTGTATAGCGAGTAGAAATTATGTTGGGTTGTTCATAATGGGTGAGCATGGACACCAAATTTGCTGGATTATTAAATGTTGACTTAATTTTCATCTGCTCTTTCTGAAACAAGAATGAATTATATTAATGTACATTGTCCTTGGCATCAAATGAAGACCTGAACAATGCTGGTGTGAAGAGTGACTTATTTAGATAAATCTATCCACACTACACAAGGTTAATAAATATTCAGCAGGTTCGTGCTACCTAACGCAGCACAAAATGTAGGCTTCTCATTCCACTGCAAGCAAGTTTAACTTGTTTTCTTTCTAACTGGTTCCATTTTTAGAGGAAATTAACCACTGAACTTGGGCACCTACAATCAACGATTGAAATGACAGAGCCACACACCCACTGTAGAAACTGGATTTAAAAGCAACAGGTATTCAAAGAACTTCCTTTGTATACATTAAGGGTTGTGAGATTTTACAGAAAAAACTTTTTATCTAGCAAATCGTTCAATTCCTAGAATTGCCTTCGGTCCTAAAGTCTCCTATTTCAAAAGCACACACAGACTGTTTTTTTTACAACTTACCTTGTTTTCTTCCAGAAATTTCAGCTTGACAGATACGCTGCTGCGTAGCTTGTCAAACTGCACTTTGTGGCTCTGGAATTGCTGCTGTGAATGTTCAATTTTTGGAAGTGTATTGGCATCCCGAGGACCAAGGTTTAGCTCCTCTAGATCGGTACGATAAGCATCATACTCTATCCTGGAGCACAAGATGAAAGAAAGTAAACCATGCAAAATTGCCTCTCAATTAGCTTAGCAATTTAAAACTTTTATAAGCAATCAACCTAAAAAAAGGCAAGGAACATGGTGCAAAAATACCAAATAACTTCTAACACAAAGTGTTGCGGACAATAATGCAAAATCTTTTTTAAAAAAATCAAAGGCAAAGAAACGCCTCAAATGCAGCACAATTTAAGAGAAAGACAATCTCTCAATTATCATGCAAGTTGAACCAGTGGGGCTTCCAGCTCTTGTCACTACAACTTGATTAGCAACAATGACCTTCATTAGTGGAACAATTATACCAGCAATCTGTGATATTGGCCCCAACCACATCCTATAAAATGCAAGAATGAAGGTATGCAAAACATAACATAATACATAACCGAGAAAGCTCATCGTCTTTCCTGCTCCTCCCTTAAAATGACATGGTCTTAATGCAAGTACAGACATCATATTGTTCTTCAAAGAAAATGGCTGCTCTCAATCCAGCCACATAAGGTTTTACTTTTTATCCTTGCATTTGATGTTATGTCTTTCAGGCTAGGAGGATGCGTAAACGCTTCACTTGATTTACGGGTAAGTGTAGTGACTGGTATTTTACAGGCAAATGTAGCAAATGCACGTAGCCATGTCCCATAAACAGCCATGAAATAAATAAACAATTTAATTGGTGCCTTAGGATCTTTATTGTCCATTTGAGGACTCCAGTCTGATGGCTCAGTCGAAGGACGGCACCTCCAACAATGCAGCTCCCTACTATTGTTTTAGAGTGTCAACCAAGACAAGAGTTTAAAATTCTGGCTTGAGGCTTGAACCCCAAACCTTTTTTGGTCAGCCGGGTGTCTTGACACATGCGGAAACCCATCATCACCATGTCAATTCCGACATTCCGTTGAAAGGCATGTCACCTTGGAGGCAGTTCAGCTCCAAGGATACCCCGCTTAAAAAGTCCTGCCAACTGAACCAAGCTAACACCTGAAGCTTTCCACATACAAAGACATTTTGATGGTCCAGATAACAAGTTTGAATTCCTTTTACGAACTCTGGGTTCCAAAGGCCTTGAGGGAGATTATACATGCATCTTATTGGCACTTGAAAGGAGACTGTAGAGTTCAACAAGGTAACACCTATTCTCCTGGGGGTGGGGAGGGAAGGAAGCGGTTTTCCTTGGAACTGAACTGGCTATTAGGTGACATGCTTGGCAACAGAATCTTGGAATTGGCAGGACTTGGAAGGGCAGCCCAGTCACTGGGGTCAGATACTCTTCCCACTTAACTCCCATTAACCGTGAAAACCAAAACCCTAACGGGGAGAGTGGTCCTCGCTGGCTACCCAGCAGGAAAGCTTGCCAGACAGTGTTCTCAATGGCAAGCTATACGGTTTTAGCTGGTTCAACTATAGCAATACCACAATATACACTCTGGAGTGCCCAAAGCCTTGGCTCTTGCCAACCTGCGCCTGATACTTTCCGGAATTAAGTAAGCAGGATACGTCCCTCAAGGGGGAGAGTGCGCATTCCATTCCAAATTTCTTGGAATTTTCATGTATAGTTGGGATGCATGGAACTTTGTTTCATTTGGATCCTCTTAAGCATGGTGATGGGTTTCTGCATGTATCGAGACACCCGGTTAACCAAAAACAATGCACTTAGCTCTCTCCCATTCCCTTGCACACCACCTCTTGTGGACAGGACAGACTCAAAGGTGGATAACCCTGACACATGCAACTATTATCCTTTTTTTTGTTTTTTCTTGTTTTCTTGGAAAGGAAGCTAGAACATATTTTATATATACATATATATAAAAAATAAATTATAAAGGCAAGACCAAATTTTTAGCGGGAGTAAAAATATCCTATTAAAAGTACAGAACATAAGTTTAATAGAGAACTCTAAGTCCTTTATTTTTGCTGGTTGATATTGAAGTACTCCATCCCTTTATGTCTTTCTATCCAAAGGTATTATGGAATTATTTATTGGATTACAGTATAGAACGTAAATAAATTAAAATTTTAGATACTAATATAATCATTTAGGAATAAAGGTGTCACATGCCTTATGTTGTCAAATGTAATGATACTGGCAATTTGGTCCTCTAAATGAAGATGACTGGTGATGCTATATTTAACAACAAGGGAAAGTTTTTTCTCAGGGTTCCCTTAGCAAAAACGTACATGTTTTTACCATGGGAAAGTTAAACATTTAACAATATTAAGCCTTGTACTGAGACAACATGACGAATCGCTAAACACCTTTACTTAAAAGAAACTACCAATCAAACAAGAACTCAGTCAACATGAACACTGCCTTACACAAAAACCCTATTTGACCCAGGTCATATGTTTTGCTGAGCACTACAAACACTAATGTTATTACACTGCATTTGAATGTCTGACTTAGATATCAGAGATCATTATGGATACCTTCCCTTGACATTGAACGTCAAAATGTGGTTGCATGAATTAGAAATGTCCCTAAAGCTCCTATTTGTTGAAAATGTAGCTGCATTTTGATTTATTTCTACTAATTACTTGATTGCCACTTTCCAAACTCAGAGCAATTAAATTACACAAATCTTTCAGGATGGACAATCGTATATCAACTATGGAACACACTGGGTGGTGTCTGAATTACTCAATGTCAGCAAAAAAACAGCAAACTAAATAAAACCCTATTCACAATATGCACAATACAAAAAATGTATGAGATTACATGGTTGCAATCAATGGAGTTCAAATACCAAAAGTCCTAATCTTCTATCTTTTGAATGCTTTAATTAAATTGTGCCTTATGGAATTATTTATTGGGTTAGAGCATAAAATGTAAATAAATTACCCAATGTCAGTAATTTCCCCCTTTTTTCTGTCATTTGAACCCTTTTATTAAATCATGCCGATATCCATTATGCTTTAATTATGCCTTTGAGTTGCTGATGAAGCAGAATAAAGTGCATACTTTGTGATAGAAGAGAGTGCCTCTAACACCAGGCTGTGACACATTTCCACTGAATACAAACATACATCTGTGCTTTTCCCCCAGTTTTATTAAACTGCTAAACATTGAATGCAAATACTGAACACAAGATTGAAATACTATATTCCCTTCAATATAGAAACTACTAAATCCATTAACAACATACAACTATCCAGGTCTCTGCAGCTCACGTCCCGGTTACAAGGCCCTGCGGATTGTAAATTGTTGTTACAATACTTAAACTACTTTATAAGTGGATATCTATTTTAAACGTGGCTTTAATTTCTATAAATAGCTTACCTGGCATTTTCATATTGTTTGACCGATATCAATGTATCTTCAATAGTTTTGTTTACCAATGTATTCACATTAGCAATGAAAAAATTAATTGCTCCAAGAAGTGTCTCTCCATTTTTAGACAGCAATTTCTGAGTTTCAGCATTGTATGCAAACTCTTCCTGAAATAGAGGAAAAAATCCAAAAAGTTAAAGAACACGAAAACATTCAATGTAATGCTTAAGAACATCAAAAAACAGGCGTGATCAGCAACATGATGTACCTGCGTATCAGTTCAAAAGGTTGAGCAGTGAAGAATTTACACTAAACCCCAAACTAACCGGACAGGGGGGAAAGGCGAGATGGATTTTCCAGCTAAATGCTAATCCTTACCTTTAACATTTAAAATAAATAAGTAAAAATATATCTTCCCTAACATTTAAAATGAATAAAACTTTACTTTAAATAAAATAAACAATCAACAAAGAAAAACATAATTTTGTATTCATGACTGATGTGATGCAGCTCCATTGATGCCCACGGTAAAACCAATCAGTGTCAGGCTGTGGGTATCAAGTGGGCCGGTGAGAGTTTGAAAAAGGTGAATGGATTTTTAGTGCTGAATGGCAGACTTGGTTTGGCTAATTCCAAATTCCAGATACTTGGTGTCTGTCCGGATAGCCAAGGGTTTACTGTATATAATTAATCTTTCAATATCTGATGCTGAACGTTTCTAGTAAAACGCCACTTAAAACATACAGTTCCCATTTACATCACATACAACAAGATGAATCAATGAGTAACTACGAAAACGAAGACTCAATTCTCTGAACAACGACAACAAAATTACATTTATAGAGCGCCACGTCGGGAGGACGTCCCAAAGCGCCGGACAACATATTGTTGCACATTTAAGTGTATATTGATAATGTGTAGGGAAAAAGGGAAATCCCATTATAAGTCTACATTTCAGTGTGCTAATATCACTGCCGGACAGAGCACCAACCCCTCCCTATATGTAACACTTAGAGCTAGCTATATCAAACTGTAATCGGTAATCTGCACTATTACACAAGTGTGACAAGCAGTATCTCACAGGACTGCTTGTAACAGTAACAACTTGATCACGAGTCGTCCTGCCTCACCCACCACCATTCAAAAGCAACAATAATTTGCACTTACTTATGTAGTGCCTTTTACCTGATAACTTAGCGTGGGAGCCTAACCATGATAAAGAATGCACGGCAGCTGATGGGTATGGAGGACAAGCGGGACATGTGGGATGCCAGAGCAAAGGGGGCGGGTGTTTGCAGGTTGGAGAGGTCGGGAGGTGCCAGGGAGGCTCTTCTGACGTGACAGGGGCTCTCCTGCTTGGCTCCCCGCAGTGCCATCTCACCTGTGGCACCAACACCAAACCAAACAGCATCAACCTACGTGGATGCACACCCCATCTTGCAGAGCTATTGCAAAATCTTGGTGTCTTTTGAATCCCAACCGTCTTTAAACCCCACAATCAGGCTCTGACCCACCCAGCTATTCCTAATCAACGAAAGATCACCCGCCTCTGCCATGACCTCTCCCCTCGTACCGCCAAGACCCTCATTCATGCATGTATGATGTCCTGGCTCAACTACATCACGATCTGTTCACCAACAACCCAGCTCTTCCCTCCACAAACTGCAGACCATGCAGCTCATGTCCTTTCCCGGACCAGGCTGCTTGAGCCTATCACCCCCATCCTCGCCTGGTTCCATTGGTTCCCCATGCCCCTGCAAATCAAGTTTAAGAACTTCATTCTTAATTTTAAACTCTCCAGTATCTCGCCTCACACTACCTCTGTGACCTCCTCAAATCCTACCAGCTTGGCTGTTACTTTGCTCAATGGGCACTGGCCTGCTTCATGTACCCTGTCCTATCTGCCTCACCATTGGCAGCTGGGCTTTCAGCCAATCTGCCCCTGGCTGGAACTCCATCCCAGAGTCCTTCCAACTCACTCCCTCTCTCACCTCGTTCAAGGTCTCATGACCTACCTTTGACTGCGCTTTTGGTCATTTTTACTCTCCCCAACGCTCCTAGACTTCCACCCCCAGCTCAGGTGCCAAGCCAGCTTTGTTAAGCGCCTTGGGACATCCCTCCGACTGATATAAATGTAAATTTGTGTTGTAATTTGCTTGGGATTTCATATACTTAGTTCTTTGACAATATTTCTAAATCAGACCTCATTTCCCGGATACAGTATATACAACCTCAGCACTACAAAGATTTTCAGCTAAGAGAAGCCTTCCAACTGATAGTGGTGAAATTGGGAGAGTGAAAGATTTGCAAATATTCAGAAAACCACAATCTCGTGTTTCAGATTCCAACTTCACAAAGTGAACTCAAGCCAACCCAGCCTCTTGTCGAAATTTGGGCATCTATCCTCAGGGTGTGGGTGACTAGGTCTGTAAGTAAAGTAATGATTGTTTTTGCAAATGAATTATAAATTCACATCGGCAAACATTCTTGCCCTTCAGACTGACTTGCCTCTTGGTAAGTCTGGCATACAGTAGTCGCTAACCATTAATTCTCAATGGAGCAGCGAGTGACTATTCATGGTTTACTATATTTCATCAGACAATGATAGGGAAAGTGGTAGAAATGCCCTGTATTCCAAGCAATAGCAACATTTACAGGTGAATTTTACAATGACTCCAAGTCATTTAGACAGCAGCAGTCTTCTTGACAAGTGCAGTGCACCATCAATAATCTACAAATGATTTAATTTTCAACTCAGCGTTACAGACATTTTGATCATCTTCTGGACGCACGAATTTCTACTAGCTACAGATTTCATAGTCCCAAAGAGAATGGTTAAAAAGCAACACAGATCAACCAAATTCTTTGTATCAAACGCAAATAATTTCACCTAGCCCCAGTGCTTTCAAAGTCCTAACTGCTTCCTCAGTCTCAACATATTCCTCCGAGTTTTCCATCTTGGTTGAGAAGTAGGAATCCTTTTGCTTTCTACTCCATCTCATCCAGGACAGTATAGGCAAGAAATCTCAGGAAGACTGGTAACTATTACCAAAGGGGACGATAAGAGTACAAGTTATGTTAAAACGTTTACATAGATTGTAAGCCCGGAAACAGGCCATTTGGCCGAACTAATCTGTGCCCATGTTTATACTCCACATGAGTCTCCACCCACTTCTTACTGCCTTCCAGTTCTATGTGTTTGTAACAAACCTGGATGCACCACTCAAGGATAATTCTGTCAAGGGTAAATGAGTAATGTTTTGAAAATCAAACTACACAGAGCAAGTAAGCAAAACTAAACAAAACTTTTTCAAAGGGAGATTGAAATTAAAAAGGAAAATGCTTGTAGTTTGTAAGGGGAAATTGGTCAAAATGTTAGGTCTTAATAATTCTTGCATTGGATACTGTTGGTGCCTTCCACATCGGAGGACGTCTCAAAGCACTTCACAGGATTTATTCCTAAGTGTATTGATTGTATGTTGTTGGCTACTCTGAACCTGCTCATCCCACTTCAAGGACAGCAAGCTCCCAATACAGGTCAAATTTGTGGCATACAAGACCTGTATTCAAACGGTCCTCCTTTATGGATCTGAGCTCCTGGAGGTGCAGTGGAGAGGCTTCCACCGACCCATTTGCAAAATCCAGGATCAAGCAGTGAGGTGGATTTGTGGCAAACACAGGAAGCGGCTGCAGATAGGGAGGGCTTCGGCCTACCTGCCACTAAGCACCCTGGAGGTGGAGTTGACTTCACGGTGGCCCCTCACATAACAACAACAACAAGATTTCATTTATAGACGCCTTTCACGTTGGGAGGACGTCCCAAGGCGCTGGACAGTTGGGTCAGGACCCGAGCAGGGGGGAAATGGTCAGGGTAGGGAAGGGAGGGAGCGAGGAGGGGGTAGAGAGTTGAGAGGGGAGCTGAAGGCACGGTCGAAGAGAAGGACCTGGATTGACCAGCTGGTGCTGAGTAAGCCTTGACTTGGACCTCAAAAACATCAAGGTGACAGGCACTTCACAAGCTATCTTGTAAAGGTCCGACCACCACCCTGAAGGCAGATATCTGATGAGGGAACTTGGAGGCCTGGGGCGACAGCTGCTGGAAGGCATTACCTGGAGTCCGAGTTTGTGAACACACGTTCCTATGTCCTGCTCCTGGAATCCACCTAGTGGGGGGGGGGGGGGGGGGGTGGGGAGAGGAGAAGCAGGGTTTCCTTGGAGCTGAACTTGCTCCAGGGTGACATGCCTGGCAATGGAATGTCCGGAATGAGCCAATCCTCTGTGGCAGTCTCAATAGTCCAGTTCCAGAGGAAAGCTTGTCAGACCCCAATATCAATGGCAAGTTATGCGGTTTTAGCTGGTTAAGACTTCAGTTGTACCCCAAAGCACACTCTGGGGTCCCCAAGCCTTGGCTCTTGCCAACCTTCGCCGAATACTTGGGTAAGCAAAATGCATCCCTCCAGGGAGAGAATGCGCATTCCATTCCAAGAATCTATCTCTTCGCTCCCTTCGGTCTAAAGGTTTTTATATTTGGATGTACACGAGAGAGAAGCATGTTGGAGAGGATAAGAAATGGGTTGAGACTCTAGTGGTGCATAAACATCAGCACAGACTAGCTGGGCTGAATGGCCTATTTCCTTGCTGTACAATCTATGTAATATCTTTTGTCTTGTGCTTTAACTAATCTGAGTTAATCATGTTAAGACTCACTGGTGCAAACTCCACTTACCTACGATTCATGTTGCAATTCTTGACATACTTTGCAGCCAAACCAGTTCTTTTGGGGTTTGATTTAAACAGAACATTTTAAGAACATTAAGAATAAAATCATAAGTACTCACATGGAGTTCTAGGGACTTCACACTGAGCTCTCCAAAAGCATCTCCAATTTGTCGCTGCGTCTGTACTACTTGGTAGAATTGTGTTGACAGAATCCGAGCCAGTCGCAGGAGATTTTCATATCTTTTCTTGGTATCTCTCAATAATTCTATTTGTGCTTCGAGCTCTAGATCCACAGTCTTTGAGCCACGTCCCAACTTCTCAGAAAGAATCTGGCGCGTGCACTGTATCAAAATCACAAAAGCAACTTGTTTTGGCAGATGAAGCAGAGAATGAGGTATTGTTGTATATAATAGACAATTTATTAAAATATAAAAACTTGGGGGAACATGAATAAAAAGAGAATTCATTTCAGAAAATATTTTTTCTTTCAGCTCCAATTTCTCTCCTCTTCTCCTGAAGGCAGTATAGCATTGGCTTCTCTAGAACCTCTCCCACGTATTCATGATTTATATGCAACCTGAGACAGAAAGGTCGGCACGCTATTTGAAAGCAGGTTTGTGTGCGTTGTGTAATACATGAATATTCACCGACCATCAAATATAAAATGTTTGCGACTGTTTTATCATGAGCATTGCAAACCAAACAGGAGCAGAGTCATAAGAAAGGCTGGGAAAAATGTAGCCCAAAATTCAGGCACAGCTCCTGGTTTCCATTCCAGTCATTTAAGTTGCAGTCGATCAGGAAAAATAATTATTCCCTTAGGTTCCGTATATATGTGAGACATGAAACAAAGGAANGGGGGGGGGCAGAAATAAAAGGGGGAGAATGTTTTAAACATTAACGCTGCAGCCAAATGCACTATGAGCAATTCTCAAGTATCAGCACTGCAACTTGATAATTTCCCATAGTATAGACAACTCTAATATGAAAACAACTTCAGCTATAATCATACAAGATTTCTCAACAGAAATCAGCAGCAACAACAACAACAACAAGATTCCATTTATAAAGCGCCTTTCACGTCAGGAGGACGTCCCAAGGCGCTGCACAGTTGGGTCAAGACCCGAGCAGGGGGAAATGGTCAGGGTGAGGGGAGGGAAGGGAGGGAGCGAGGAGGGGATAAATGGTGAGGGGAGGGAAGGGAGGGAGCGAGGAAATGGTCAGGGTGAGGGGAGGGAAGGGAGGGAGCGAGGAGGGGGTAGAGAGTCGAGAGGGGAGCTGAAGGCTCGGTCAAAGAGAAAGGTTTTGAGACCGGCCTTGAAGGAGGAGAGGGAGGAAGCGGCGAAGGCACTGGGGGATGGAGTTCCAGAGCCTGGGGGCTGAGAGGCTGAAGGCCCGACCACCGATGGTAGGGCGATTGGGGCGGGGGACGTGGAGCAGACCGAAGCCGGAGGAACGGAGGGTACGGGCAGGTAGGTAGGGGGATAGTAGGTCAGAGAGGTAGGAGGGAGCAAGGCCGTGGATGGCCTTATAGGTGAGGATGAGGATCTTGAAATCAATCCTCTGGGGAATGGGGAGCCAGTGGAGGCGAGCGAGGGTGGGAGTGATGTGGTCCCGAAGCCTGGTGCGGGACAGTACACGAGCTGCAGAGTTCTGAATGACCTGCAGCTTGTGGAGGGAGGTGGCGGGAAGGCCGGCGAGGAGAGAGTTCCCATAGTCCAGCCTTGAGGTGATAAAGGCGTGGACCAGGGTTTCAGCAGCGTGAGGGGTGAGGTAGTGCCGTAGCAGCAAGAGTGTGATAGTGTACAACGCCAACATTACATTTGTAAAGCGCCTTTCATGTCGGGAGGTCGTCCTAAGGCGCTGGACAGACAGAGTTATGGACCCGAGCTGGGGGTCGGGGAGGCTGGAGAGCAGGGGAGTGGAAGCAGGGAGATTGAAAGCACCGGTCGAAGAGGAGAGTCTTGAGATGGGTCTTGAGGGTGGCAAAGGGAGGGGGCGAGGCGGAGGGACTGCGGGATGGAGTTCCAGAGAGTGGGGGCAGAGTGGCAAAAGGCCTGCCCGCCAATAGTGGGGCGAGCGAGGCGGGGGATGTGAAGCAGCCTGGAGCCCGCTGAGCGGAGGGAGTCAGCAGGATGTTAGGGGGTTAGGAGGTCTCAGAGGTAGGGGGGAACAAGACCATAGTGTAGCAGAAGGAACCAATGTCATGTGTAAACAAACACATGACTTTAGTAGGCCCAATGCTGACAGATAAGATAAACCACATGCATAGGCTACCCACAGTAAGGGATGTCACCAACTTAAATGCTCTTCTTCAAACTCAGCTTTCCTAGAAAGATCTCATACCCCACCTGACTCCTCCCAAGAGATTATCCCACCAAGAGAGTGCTGTTCCAGCTGACTGGAAGGCAGGGTGTTTGAGGTCTGATTGACTCAGATTTCCCTTCCTTTTGGGAGCCAGCAACAAGCCTGCTGCTCTTAGTTCATGGCTTCAACCGCCGCAGAGTGGGAGTGATACCCTTATGCTGCCCATTTCTGGGTTAATTGCCTCCAGCCTCGGCCAAGCCTGCCCTAAGGACAGAAAACCAGAAGCGTAACCCTGGAAACTTGTTTATGGACTAGCCGCTCGTGACCTTGGCCGGCCTCCCTCACAATTGTTCGGTTCAAGCGTGTTACAAATGGAAAGAGGCTCATGGACAGAATTGAACCTCAAGTCAGGTTCTAGTCTGAGACTGAGCTGTGTGCTTGGGTGTTGAGTGGCACAATATTTCTCCATACAAGTTAGAAGAATGACAGGGGATGTCCACACTGTGCATGCCCAGAACTACAAACAAACCAACTCTGAACAGTTAAGCGATAGTTTGTTCACAAAACTGCTCTTTTCATTGCAGAGCATATTCAACAAGATGGGAGAGGAAATAAAATGTATATCTGCCACTAGCCCATCAGTCTCCTGCTTTGTTAGGCATTTTTTTTTAAAACTGAATAACCTTAACTGAGTTTCTCAGTTCAGTGGGTAAATGGATGGTAGGATGCATACTGAACCACACACAGTGGCAACATCTGAGATCTGACCTATGGTGGGTGATCTGATTTCAAACAAGTCAACAATGGGGTGCTACAATTGCCTTCAATGTCCCCAGATTGAATGACCTGGGGTGGGGAAATCTGCCACAATTCCTACTCCTGACAATCACCCAGTGAAAGGACACATGTGGATCTTAACTGAAGACAAGATTAGAATCAGACATGATGACCTATGGTTGAATAGTCTGCCAACATGTACCCAATTTGTATAGAGGTTTTGTACTGTAGCTTGTCTTACTAATATATTAGGATTCTTCAAAGCCTTGCCTCAATAAGTTGACTACAATGTAAAAAAAAATGATTTTCAAGCAGTTAGTACAAACGATTATAAAAATTATGAAAATGTCACACAAACCAATATCTGGGATAAAATTAATATCATTTATTTGCTGCTTCAATAGGATTATTCCGTTCAGCAGTCAGAGTATGTGCATAAATGAAGTCAGGAGACTGGTATTTGGCTAGGTTTCTGTGGGGGTGTACACCCGATGATCCCTTATCAAAGAGTAACTATAATTAATCTCACTGCTTTTACTGAAGGTTTGGCAACATCTTGATCTTGTAGGCTGTCAAATATCGACTTGCTTAAGCTGCATCACTGCACTGAGAATCACTTATGCAATCTCTGATCAGATTACTTCTTTAACATTGACGGACAAATTCACAGGCTTAAATTTAATGCAGAACAGTAAAATACTAAAATCCAAACTAGTAAAACTAATATTCAGTTTTTATTTTCCACGTCCGAAGAGCTATTCTGTCCCCAATAATGGTGGGGGTAGAATAACATACCCTAGTCTTTCAGGCTTGCACCTTGTGCATCTGATGCTCTAATCTAGGTTCATGAACAAATTGAAGAGCGGTCTTGTTTATTTTGCTAGCCAGCTCCACAGCTGTATTTTTAAAGAAACTGCTGATATTTTGTCTATGTAGCATGCAAATGTTTGCAAAGCAATATTAGTGATATCCAAACCCGACTGTCCAGCGCTTTGGGACGTCCTCCTGATGTGAAAGGTGCTATACAAATATAATTTGTTGTTGACATTTTTGATAGCAATTCATTTCAATGTTTACTGCATTAGTATTGCCAATATGAGATTTATCCCCAGTGTGGATCAACATCATACAATACCAATTAAAAACATGGATTATTTTCAATAAGTAATTGAAGCCAATTCTCAGTTTGCAACAATAAAAAGGATATTACAGTACTTCAATTACAACTGGTTTGGGTTTGCAGGAATGAACATGCTATTCAGTGGAGGTAGAATAATATTTAATGAACATTTAAATTAGCACCTTGAGTCTTTTTAATATTCCAATCAATTAAGAGAAACCAGTTACACAAAAACATCCTCTTAGGGAAAACTGGATGGAAGGGTATTATATATTGATCAGGAACTCCACTGCACTGGATATCGAAACCTCTACTCAGGGGCAGAAAAGAACTCAAAACTTTCAAATGATTCAAACTACTGTACAAGTTAGAAACAAAACACCAAATGAACTAAGGGGAATATGTTAATAAAGAATGGTAATAATATGGCACTAGATTTAACATACATATGAGTCATTGAACATTTACTTTAGTTACAGTTTTGCATGAGTTATTTTTAAAGATAGATATTTGTGAATCTATTTGGCTGCTGCTCTTTGGTTTTGTGACGTGCATTAGGATTTGTTAAGCAAATCAATATAAACCGAGTAAAGCAATACACAGCACGTCACAAAAGACTACAAATAAAGTTCAATGGACATATTAAGGCAACAATCTCCTTGCTGCAATCAAATAATAATTCCTAAAACAAATGCGGTCACTTAATCCATACTGTTTGTGGGATCTGTGGTGCCCAATTGGCTGCTACAAAATATACAGTGAATTCACTTCACAGTATACTGTGAAGTGCTTTGAGACATCACAAAGTCTTGATAAGGCGCAACATCAAATGCAAGGATTATTATTATTAATTACCTCAATAAGGAAACATTCCATTGAAACAATTCTGAGCTATGCTTTGTAGTGAGTTGTATTTGGCTATTTTAAAAATGCATATTGCAGTAATAAAATCATCATTTTAAGGATTCTATTGTAACCAGCTAAACGTTAACAACATCTTGCATTTATACAGTGCCCTTATTCCAGGGCAGCAACTTGGAGCAGTTAACAGTGGTGGAGCTTAACCCTGATCTGGGGGAAGATGACTATCAGCACGGTCGAGGAGCAACGTCTTCAGGTTTGATCTGAAAATGGGGAAGGAAGAGGCAAGGCGGAGGGATTGAGGGAGAGAGTTACAAAGTTTTGGCTGAAAATATGGCTGCTGTTGGTGGAATTGAGGGGATGAGGGACAAGCCGGAGGCCGTAGCCAACCAGCAGGTGGTGGAGTGGGGAGTAAGCAGGTCGTAGAGGCAGCAAATTATTCAAGAAATATAAGCAGCTGCGCAATACATACCTTGTAAGTGCTTATGCTCCATTTTTTCATCTGTTCAAATTTTTCAAGAGCAACATTCTTAGAAAGATCATCAGCAATAACAACTGGTCCACTCTGAGTACTCTTCAGGTTACCTGCTTTAAACAAAGAAAAATAGTTCCAAAAAGCTGATCACACAAGTAGAAAATTTCAAGAAATAGTTAGTAAGAAAGAGTATGGAGGATTAACACTCATCTTTATATGAAAACCCAATACTGTAAGCAAGGTGCCAAAACAAAAGCACACAATTTCAAAAATATATATATCAATGTAAAAGTTTACCTTGATGGCTCAGAGGACCATGTGGTGTACCACACAAATTACAACCATCTGTGCTGATTTAATTGATCTCAGATAGGCATTCATGAGACCCTATAAATGGCCTCAAACAGAGGGGATTTTTAAAAAAAGTATTTCCCCATCACAGTTTAGCATTCCCTGGTAGAAGTAGGGATTGGGGTCACCAGGTAACAATCTCGGCTTTGACAGCTCTTGGTCAAATAGCTTCCTAACGCTTACTGCCAAAGGTCATGGATGAACAATACCTTGAAACTACTTCAGCAGAAACTACTTCAACTGGATGGTGAGAGAAAGGAGAAATCTGGGAGGCGACAATGAAATGTTATCAGGCTCTCATATATTCAGTTCAGCCATCTTGTTCCAGATAATAGAATGAAGGTTAAAGGGAGTTTAAATTCAATGTGAACAAATCCAACAAATTATATAACAACACCATTTGGTTAGATATGCATCACAGCATGACAATGTGTTGTATTTGCTGGCCATCACTTGATTGTAGTCCAAGCTGGACAGTACTGAGTTAAAAAGGAAGAAAGAACACAACAAAGAGAACAATGAATGTTAGCTCAAGTTATGCTGTGGTATCTTTAATACAAGGTTTTACTAACTACTGGGTGCAAAATATAAAAATGAATACAAAGTATTTTCATTACAGATATATACTTGTTTTTCTGGTTATAGAGCAAATGCTCGGCTTACTGTACTGAATATAAATACCGGACAACCAAATGACCCTGGGTGTGTCTTTATATTTCACGTACACATGGTAATTTTTTTTAAAAAAGTGATGGGAGTCTTTCCTCCTCTCTTCCTTTCCTGTAAATATTCAATTCTTTCACTTTTATAACAGCTCTGTTATGAAGGCACAAGGCGTGCTTTTAAAAAAGGCACAGGGTGACCTCTGGTACAGTTTGCCTCGTGGTTAATATTCATGTAGGCAAGTTAGGCTTCTTATTTGACAAGGAAGGGAGTGGGGGGGTGGGTGGGAGGAATCAAAGTTGAGCCCAATTCTGTCTTCAACAAACATCCGAATGCGCACCAATCAGCATGTGGGCTCTAGATAATGATAAAATGTTAAGCTTAGTGAGATTAGGCCTGTTGATTAGAATATGCGAAATGTTGAAAGATTAAGACAAGAGTGGAAACAAGACTGCACCAAAAATAAGAGAAACTAAATCAACAGCAAAAAGATCAAAGCAAGCCCTAGATGCAAAGACCAATGAGTCAGGAATATTCTGGAACAAGGAGATTAAATGAACTAAACAATCCTTTTCACCCATACCGCTCATGATCAGGAATGGTAATACTGGCTGATTTCCCCCTCCTTAACCCAAGATTACAGGGAAATCACACCAACTGAGATCAGCTAACTCAGATTTGCAACCTTGGGAGTATCTCGGTGACATCAGTCGGCGCCATTGTCCAAGAGGCTAATAGAAGGAGCTTACCCTTAACAATTTTGATCTCTTCCCTCTTTTTTGTGCAGATCCCTGACTATTCAACACCTTGGGACTTCCTCCTGATGTGAAAGTCGCTTACAAATGTAATTTGTTGTTGTTTCACTTGCCCACAATTGAAAAGGAAATTCTCTTCTCTGCTTTGTGGAGTTTTGTACATTACAAATGAGATATTTTACAAAGTATTTACATTTCAGCTGCATCTTTGTACACTTTTTGTTGTATCCATACATTCCAAAAATCCAGAGAAGTACAAGAAACTGAAAGCAGTGCAGAAGCCACAAGTCCTTGTTCAACAAGATGTTCTCCACAAGCTCAAAAGAAAAAAAATTAAAGCATAAAGAAGACAGAATATGCACAAGTGAATGAAGACTGCACCAAACTTCATTATGCAATTCTTATAGGAAAAAAGAGCCAAACCCATTCAGAAAGTAGTTAAAAGTTCAGTTCAAATCGACAAAAGGAAGGGTAAATAGTTAGTAAACACTTTGAACTTGTAAAAAGAGAATTGCTCAAAACCCTCCAAGTATGGCGTGTGATTTATAGACCACTTATATGCTAGAAAGATTTTGCAGGAGATAATGAAGTGCTATATAGTTACCAAGAAATGCATTCCTGATCAAAGTACTTTTATACTTCAGCTTTTGCTTATGATCAAATTCTAACATAGTCACGTTAGTTTATGGTTACATCTCACAGTTCATGTGACCTCGATTACACAAGCTATAAAATAAATTAAAATCCATCTAGAAGAAAAGCGATCAGTATTAAGAAATCAGTCAGCCAAAGCACCACAAATTGTAATTATTGATAAACCTTTCTCTGCTTGGTCAGAGGAAAAGGAAGATGAGAGCGGAGGAGGAATGCTACTGTAAGCCTGCACAAGTGGTGTGTTAATGCCATCAACTGTAAGCATCATGCAAGATAACAATGTAGTGCATTAGTATATCGCCAGCAGGGAAAGGGTTGCTTCTCCAGGCAGAGCAGTGAATACCTGCAGGAACGAAAACATCCTGTCCTTGTTCAGCCAATCTGCTAGCAGCTTTACTGCTTGGGAATACAACTGGACTCGTGGGTGGGGAAGAAGAACCTGAAAATAGCAAATTGTACAGTAAGAGATACCACAGGGCTTCGGAAGAATATTGCTCTTTTATAATCCAATGTTTCTAAAGAAAGAGAAAAAAGTTGAGTAAGTATTTGAGGTAAAACTAAATAAGAGTATAGTGCGGAACCAACACAAGCAAGTGCTCGATGACAAAAATCTTCTCCCTTTATCATTCCTATAAATCTAAAAATGTTGCCAGAATAAAGCTCCAACCATTCATTCAACTGAAAGCAAAGAATTCTAGGTTAAAAGGGAGGGGAAACATAATAATTACATTTGATTATACAATACAAAAACCAAGAGCAAGTATCAACCAGCCCTACCCTGGTATCAGGAGCATCTGTTTAGTATGGTTGCGCCAGGAAAGTGCTGGCAGCACTACTGTGTGCTCAGCAATATCAGTAGGTAGCATTGCCTATTCTTGGGATACTTTCATGATATTATCAACTGCATTTAACAATAATCGTTGCATTTGATACAGCGCCCTGATCACATTTAGAGACGATCAAAGTATTTCCCAGCATAAAAAGGATTGACTGTGTTTTTATTTCCCCAGTATTCTAATAAGTAGTTGCCTTTTGTCTGCAGAGCACAATGGCACCGTGATCACTGCAGTAAAATCTATGCCCCAAAAGGAAAGATTCCCATTTGGAGCTTTTCAAACAACTGGGATGGGCATCCTAGCTCTAGGGTGGGATCAGTTAATATTATTTCTCACACTCTCCCCAGGGGGACAAAACATGCTGAGTTAATCCCAGAAAATATTAGGCAATATTTGGCAAGTCTTTGGCTACTGTACAGGAATCCTGCAGCTCAGTGGTTAGAGAACTCGTCTTGCAAGCGAGAGAGATTCCAGACAGGGCAAAACACTGGGCAAGTTTCCTTACTTCACACTCCTGATAATAATCCCTCAAGAAAAAAATAATAAAACTGGTCACTTCAATCCATGACTGTTTGTGGGACATTGCTGTGCATAATTGGCTGCCGTGTTTCGCCTACAAATATGCAGTCAATTCACTTTACAGTACATTCTGTGAAGCACTTTGAGATGTATAGAAGACATGCAAAGATTATTATTATTCCTGCTAGTGTTAAACCAGCTAAAATTGCACCAGCTTGCCATTGCAAGCATTGTCTGGTAATAATATTTCTCAAAGCAAAGTTCACCGTAACCATTTGGACTTTGGCTTGCAAGGTTAAAGGGAGCAGAGCAGTAATAATCCCTGTCCCAGGAAACAGTCTGCCCCTCCAAGTCCTGTTGACAAGCCAAACCGATAACAAGTGCTTGGAGTACTTCAGACAAACCCAATTTAGGAATCAGACCATCGAGATCACCAAAGAGATAGACTCAATACCAAACTCCATTGCCTGGTTCGGAGACAACTCAACCCCAAAAGACCCAGTTTACCTTTACCCCCTCCCTCAAGGATAGTGTGAGAAAGGTCTGTATAATTACTCTATGATCCATAAAAACAAATCATGCAAAGCCTCCAAAACATTTGCCTATCCCCCCAAATCTTTACTCTTCAACACAGTCCTGTAACCGCCTTTAGAAGCACTGAAAATATGATGTCAAACTGAGATCTGATTGTCTGCCTTTCATGTGCTTAGAATCTCAATTACTGTTCCCAATCAGATTTTGTCTTAAAAAAAAAGTTCTCTCATGTCTGACGTGCTTCAAAAACGACTTGGGGTGTGTACAAAATATCTGAACTTTTCCAGCACTTAATTAAAACTTTCAACACTGCAATTAGTGGCTTTAACTATGAAATAGTTTCTGGGAAAAAAAAAGTGTTGGCACATAGTTTGAACAACAATTGGCTTTTGTTAAAACCACAAGATAATTTGAGCATTTTCTACAGGTAGCTAAAAGTTACACAGTGGATCATACTCTCAATCGCATCACAGGTTTCCACAACAATCGATTATCACAACACATACTTTTAAAAATATATACTATTTGGGTCTGTAGATGGATCAAAATCAAATAGTTAAAATACACCACAAATTTACATTGTGCCTTTCACATTAAAAGCACATCCCAAGCCACTGGACGGTACAGTGTTGCACCCGAGTTGGGGTGGGAGGTGAGGCGAAGGAGTGGGTGGGGAAGATGGCCAAAAGCGTGGTCAAGGGTCATGAGACGGATCTTGAAGGAGGCTAGAGAAGGAGTGAGTTAAAAGGACTCTGGGATAGTTCCAGAGAGTGGTTGCAGATACACTGAAAGCCCGACTGCTGATGGGGCAGGGAAGACGAAGCAGACTATATAGTATATTAATAATCATCCTTGCATTTGATATAACGCTTTTCTCGTCTTCTAGATGTCTCAAAGCGTTTCAACTGTAAAGTGAATTGACCGTATATCTGTGGGTGAAACCCGGTAGCCAATTGCACACAGCAATGTCCCACAAACAGTGGTGGATTGAAAATGACCAATTTATTAGTGTTTTTTGGAGAGATTATTATTAGGGGTGTGGAGTAAGGAAACTTGCCCAAGGTTTCACCCTGCCTAGAATTGAACCCAGGTGTCTCGCTTGCAAGGCGAGTGCTCCAGCTACTGAGATACAGGACTCCACTGAGGCTAGTGCCCACTGAGTGAATGGAACTGCTGGGTTTGTAGCACTTGAGAAGGTTGCAGAGGCAGGATGGGGCAAGACCTGGATGGGATTTTAGAGGATAGGATGAGGATCTTGAATTCAATCCACTGGTGGAATAGTAGAGTCAGGCAAGGATGGAGGCAATAGCCAATAGACACAGATGCAGAATTCTGGTTAGTCTGCAGTTCGTGAAGGGGAGAGCCGGCTAGTCCAGCAAGTCTCCCTCCCCGTCTTACACTATACAAGTTTATTTCATATCGCACACTTAACTCAAAAGGCAACGTATTGCAGATGCTGGAAATCTGGTATAAACACAGAAGTCGCTGGGAATACGCAGCAGGTCAGGCAGCATTCATTGAAAGAGGAAAATGAGAACTGGGGGATGTTGGAAAATGTTTGCTTTATTTTTCGTCAGAACTGGGGGATGTTGGAAAATGTTTGCTTTGTTTTTCTTTCCCCACCCCTTCTCTGCTTGTCCTTATACAACAACAACAACTTGGATTTATATAGCACCCTCCACACCGGACGGCGTCTCAGAGCGCTTTATAGTCACGGATCCCAGGACCGAGCCAGGGGGACGGGGAGGAAAGTGACCAAAGGCGCGGTCGAAAAGAAAGGTCTTCAGCAGAGTCCTGAAAATAGGAAGGGAGGGAGCGAGGCAAAAGGAGTGAGGAAGGCAGTTCCAGAGCCTCGGGGCATAGTGATGAAGGCACGGCCACCAAGGGTGGAGCGGAGGACTCGGGGGACGAGGAGGAGGCCAGACCCGGAGGAACGGAGGCAATGGGTACTGTTTTGAGGAGAGAGGTGGTCAGAAAGTATAATCAGTTATAAGAGGTCAGTTATAATCTACTCCCTTCCAACATCCTTCAGTTCTGACGAAAGGTCATGGACCTGAAGCATTAACTCATTTTCCTCTCTCCATGGATGCTGCCTGACCTACTGCATGTTCCCAGCGACTTATGTGTTGATACTTAACTCAATATGTACAGCTAATGCAGATAAGATGACACACCAATGGTTAGCATGCTGATACGTGACAGTCCACTGAAGTGTACCACCTCTTGGCCCGGTTGAGATTAGCTAATTTACAATATATTTATATAGAATCTTCCGTGTCTTCTCTTAAACTTAGTAGAGACTGAATTCAACCTACATCCTTCCCACATTAAATCACGTGACTACCGCCTCAATTTCTATACAATCTGGAATCTCTGTTTTGCTAATGTCGAGATCCCAGAGCTTATGACATGTATCCAATGTTTTACTGCACTCTGCCAGCATTCTCCCTGGTAAAACCTTCAAGTAGCCACTAAAGATGTTCACAGTTTCCTGTCCATTCTCATTTTCTGCTCCCCTAATCTTTAACTTCACTATTAAGTAGGAGGAAAACACAAATTATTCCAAACCAGGGCTCTGAAATTTATTTTGCACCACATATTCTAATACTGGATTTTTTAGTTTTATGATTATATGCCATAGACTGAACCCACTTGATTTATGTATTTTCAACTTTTAGTCGTTTGGTCTGTTTTAAGAGGGTCAGAAAGAAGCTTCCTCAAACATTACATGGTTCATCTCAGAAGGTTAATGCTGTGGTCACGTGATGGGTCTGCAGTGTCAGCGGCCTTTTCTGGTTGATTTAGCTGTGCTATCCTGCTGAGATTGCTTAAAATAAAATTATTAATTGGCTGAGTATATTATGTTAATGGTGAAGCTGAGCTTTCATTCACGCGATGGAGACAAGGGTCACAATGCACACATGTGCTAGCACTAGGAGTTCAGCTTTCAGCCTTTTTGTATTCAAAAAAAGATGATTTTTGAGGAGAAAAGCAATACCAACAGAGTGATAATATCAAACAAGCAGCAAGTCACACTACATTGGTGTAAAAGAGTACAATTTCTATACAAAAAAAATTTAGATTACATCAGAATTTATAACCACGATATTACAACAGCAAAAAATTACATTTGTATTAGCGCCCTTCACATCGGGAGGACGTGCCAAGGCGCTGGACAATCAAGGATGTGCACTCAAACTGGGGTTGGGATCAGGAGGGGTGGAGGATAGGGAGGGTGGGAGTATGAGGATAACAAATAGCAGAGTCGAAGAGGAAGGTCTTGAGACACGCCTTGAAGGAGGCAAAGCTGAGAAACTGTTAAATTACATTAAATTATACAGGTCATTTATTGTTTAGAAACTAGTTTAACAGCAAAAATGTGCTTTCAAATATATGATTAGAACTGCAGGCATGTACAAAACACTGAACAGGATCAACAGTGCATAGGTTAAAATTAAACTTTGTAATCTACAGTTATGAGAGGTTACCAGTTATTTACTATACTCAATTGTTTAACGCAATAAGTTGAATAACAGAAAATCAGAAGATC